AAATTATTTTTATGTACCACGGATAAAAAACAATTTTTGAATCATGGGAAACAATTTGAACATAGGAAACATTTTGAAACAATTATAACAAATTCATAGGAGTGCAAAAAATGGTAAAAAAACATACAGGAAATTAAAATTTTCATCTGCTTCAAACTGTTAATCAAAAAAATAAAAAAATTTAATAATTAGTTTGAAATTAATGTGATGGTCTCGCTTATAATTATTTTTATTCGTTTTTCAATTTTTAATTTTTTTTCTCCAGTTTATTTGTTCAAATTTAAAATTACATTTCATTGCAAATACTGAACCTATGATAATAAACAAGACTTTAAAAACAAAATTGTTGCAATCAAATAATGAGAGAAAGGTTACAAGTAGATCAGTAAATGAAGAATGCAGTTGGAAAAGTTATGTTCATTTTCTTAGTAATTTTATTTAAGACAGTTCAGGGATTAAATTGAAAGCCCTATAAGCCACTTTTGGGTAGAAGTGAATTCTACAAATAGGTGAATTGGTTCTAAAATTGGTGAATTGGTTTTAAAATCGCGTGAATATGAATCGTGCGGTTGGATTTTAAAATCGCGTGAACATGAATCGCGATATTGAATTTTATAATTGCGCGAATAAGAATTGCGATTTTGGTTTTTAAAATCATGTGAATATGAATCGCGCTGTTGGATTTTAAAAACACGAAAGTACAAATTGCGGTATTGAATTTTTAAATCGCGTAATTAAGAATCACGATGCAGAATTTTTAGATCACGTGAATACAAATCGCAATGATTAATTTTTAAATAGCGTACAAATACGAAAACCGATATCTGATATTACAACTGCGTGATAATGAATCGAAATATTGGATTTAAAAATGAGTGAATACGAATCACGACGTTGAATTTAAACTCGCGAGAATACAAATAGCGATATTGGGTTTTAAAACCGCTTAAATACAAATTATGATATTGAATTTTTAAATCGCGTAATTAAGAATAACGATGCATAATTTTTAGATCAGGTCAAAACGAATCGCAACGAGTAATTTTTAAATAGCGTACAAATACGAAAAACGATGCAACTGCGTGATAATGAATCGAAATATTGGATTCTAAAATGCATGAATACGAATTGTGACGTTACAACTATCGTTCAGGCGGCTAGGGTTCTTCAATTGAACTCTTCAAAAATTTTAGTTTTTGGAACATGGTCGGAAATTTTAAAAATTGGGGGAAAAAAGTGGATTTCCGCGGAAGTCTTTCATCCCTGTAAAATAACAACAAAGAAAGTAGACCAATAACGTAGACCTAAAAAAAAATTTTAAGGACAGAAATTTTTTTCTTCCTATTTCCGTCTTCGAGTCAGTCTTGTTTCCGTCTTACCTCCGTCCGAGGACACTTTCGAAAGACGGAAATCCGTCCTGGGGACGGAAGACTTGCACCCATGGAATGCGGCCAAAACATAATATTCCAATAAAACATTGGAAAATTTCAACAAACCATCGACCAAAACTTTATAAAATTACAATGTTGTTGTCGTGTCTATGCTCATGCAAAGATTAGAGTTCTCCAAAAGTCTTGATAACAAGGTTTGCAAGTTCTGGAGCCCGATGGCCATGGAGAATTTCGATGGGAGGTGCTCCAAGTTGAAAGAGGGAGCCGAAATTACAATGAACCCAATATAAGCAAAACTAATAAACCCAAATAAGTGCATTTTGTATCTAAACAAAAATTAATGAAGTAAGCACAGACAGAAAAGGAAAAAAACTCCCACAAACAGGACATTTATATCTATTACTATTTAAACCTTCATTCATACACCAGTCAATCACTGCCTTTTGTCCATTGTTATTCAAATCATACAGAAACTTAAGATTTATCTTATTTACTGCAGTCTTTCTTAGGACCAGAAGCAAGATTAACCTTATCCAATGTAGAACTAACGGACCTCTGAAATTACATAAACCATTGAACATTTAAAAATAACGCCAGAATCTAATTCTAAATCAATCAGAATCACGATTGGGTTTCACAACTTGGCGAGAATCAAGGGGCACCCTCAAATATAGTCTACCCGTTCCTGAGAAAAGGGAACAGATGAGTTGCATAATATTTAGTCTTACAACATTAGTCCGTGAAAATTCTTCGACCCATGTCGAGTAATGTTCAGAATTATCATTCCCGCCCTGAAACAAATCTTTGTGTTTGCGCTTTAGTGAAGTCCCTTTAGAGACCATAATAAAGTGGAGTCTTAGAATCACAATGAAAGAAGTTTTAAAATATCGCTTTTCCTCTATGGTCAAGCATAATGACTTTGTTTTGGTGGAATTCAAAACTTCATACCGTGCCCCAAACCGATTTTGGAGTAAAAATATGTTGCAAAATTATGAGCTTGTGGCTTAATTATACTTTATAGAGATTTTTCGGTACTACTATGTAAGCTATAAGTTGAACCTCTGAGACTCCATCAAGTCATCATATGTTTGAGTTCAAGCCACTGCAGAAAGTTTGAAAGTTGGGTAGAGCAAACAAAAACTTTTTTTTTAATTTGTATATTTTTTTAACTATGGGTTATCCTAGTATTTTAAAAAATCAGTTAACTTGTAAACAAGGCGCTTTTTGCACAATCTGCTTTAATTGTATGTTTTGTTAACCATTTAAAGTGCAATGCTCTTTGTTTTTCTTACTGAGCCCTTTTATTTTATTTTTAGTTGATGGAAACTATTGCATGACTGGTGGATCTGATAAATCAATAAAACTATGGAAACTTTTTAAATCATCGCTCTTGAAGACTTATATGGGACACGAATATGAAGTGTTAGACGTTCAATCTTCAGCTGATAGTTCACATATAACATCCAGTGGAATGGACAAAACCATTTTTTATTGGGACGTTAGTACCGCCCAAATAGTGAGAAAGTTTCGAGGTCGTGCTGGTATGTTCTTTTATTAGAGAGTTGGGCAATTTTCTTAATGTTGATTTCATATGTAATTATTGGAGATCTTAATTGTTTTAATATATAGCATTTTTTTTCTTCGCAATACATTAGGGAATCTGTTCAAGCCGTCTACTGTTAAGCTAAAAAGTATTGAACTTCAAAATTTTAAAAAAATTAAATAAAAATATGTAGAAGTTTGTCTGAGGAGGCTTTGGGTTATACCCATTAAGTTGGTCCTCTTTTGTGCATTTTTTTTTTCTTTTTATAGTTTCCCACTTTTCACTGCCTGAAAATCTCAAATGCTTAGCAATTACTTTAGGAAAGTACTAATACAATGGTCTTTTTTAAATCTACACTCAGTTTTGTGAGCAAGAGTATTTCCAAACTTCTCAAGCCAAAAATGTAATCATTAAAAAATAAAGTATATTTAAATAATTAAATCCTGCAAAACTGGTTTTGAAACCATTGTGGGATTAAATTTGCCTAAAAATGTCTTCTATCTCAAANATGGGTTATCCTAATATTTTAAAAAATCAATTAACTTGTAAACAAGGCGCTGTTCGCACAATCCGCTTTAATTGTATGTTTTGTTAACCATTTAAAATACAATGCTCTTTGTTTTTCTTGCTGAACCCTTTTATTTTATTTTTAGTTGATGGAAACTATTGCATGACTGGTGGATCTGATAAATCAATAAAACTATGGAATCCTTTTAAATCATCGCTCTTGAAGACTTATATGGGACACGGATATGAAGTGTTAGACGTTCAGTCTTCAGCTGATAGTTCACATATAGCATCTGGTGGAATGGACAAAAGCATTTTTTATTGGGACGTTAGTACCGCCCAAATAGTGAGAAAGTTTCGAGGTCATGCTGGTATGTTCTTTTATTTGAGAGTTGGGCAATTTTCTCAATGTTGATTTCATATGTAATTATTGGAGATCTTAATTGTTTTAATATATAGCATTTTTTTCCGCAATACATTAGTGAAACTGTTCAAGCCATCTATTGTTAAGCTAAAAAATATTGAACTTCAAAATTTTAAAAAAAGTAAATAAAAATATGTAGAAGTTCATCTGAGGTGGCTTAGGGTTATACCCATTAAGTTGGTCCTCTTTTGTGCATTTTTTTTTCTTTTTATAGTTTCCCACTTTTCACTGCCTGAAAATCTCAAAGGCTTAGCAATTACTTTAGGAAAGTACTAATACAAAGGTCTTTTTTAAATCTACACTCAGTTTTGTGAAACAAGAGTATTTCCAAATTTCTCAAACCAAAACTTTAATCATTAAAAAATAAAATATATTTAAATAATTAATTCCTGCAAAACTGGTTTTGAAACCATTGTGGGATTAAATTTGCCTAAAAATGTCTACTATCTCAAATAAAATTCTAAGAGAAGTTTTAAACATTTTGTTTTTATTATTTAGATGAAAAAAACTCCAGGGGCCTAGCTACTAGGGTGTTGTAAGGGTCGTCTTGTCCTGTTAATGTTGCATATTACAATCTTAATTGGCAGT